AGTGTTTCACTTGAGTTGCTTTCATTTTGAAAGTCTCCTTCTAAAATTTTAGTACCTTTTTTTTTTTAATATTTTGAGTCAAATGCTCTTCCAGTTAACAGCGTCAACTAAAAATGAAAAAGAGTATTATAAAAATATTTTTATCTGGGTTCTTTGTATGCCATTTCAGTTAGCATTCTAATGAAAGTGTTGTGGGTTTTTATTAACTTCGGTTTCACATTTTATTACATCAGAATATATTCTTCATTACAAGATAGGACTGTAATTTCACATGAGGCCTAAACAGGTATTAAATGTGCATTTCCACACCTTTTCCCTAATTTCCATTTTTTTAACAGCTTTTGAGTTCTAGTTATTAATATAAATAAATATGCTTGCAGCCTGAGTAGTTAGATCATGAACTTGGTCAGTAAATGAAGGAAACAAAAGATGAAATGGTGTACTTGAAGACTTAATTATATCCGTTATAAAAATGTTTAAAATCATCCCAGTGACCGTTCCCTGTTATTGAAGTTTAAATACAGAAATGAAACCTGTGAATCTTTCTTAGAAGCATTTGTATGTTTTCTGTAATGTTTTCATGAATACATGTTGGTCATATCAGCTGTTTTGGCAGTTGAAATAGTCAAGGTTTTCTTACAGGCTTTAGGATTTTTCTCTGGTAACAGTAAAAGGCTTTGCTCTTTGTCTGCTCTTGTTTTCTGATGTGTTGTACCAGTGCTGTTGTTTTTCAATTTTCTTATTTATTTGAATAGAAATAATACTGCAAGATGTTAGTAAATGAAATACTTAACCTCTTATTTGCATTTTCTGCTTTGGTGTAAAATTGTTAGGGTTTTGTTTGTTTTAAACTTTGAGGCAAGTAAAGTCTGCATGATGTGAAAAGGAAAAGACTAATAGATGCAAATTTGTGATAAAAGTTCTACGGAGCATTTAAATGGTATTTAAATGTCATCTGCACTTACTTTTTAACGTGTGTTCAGGCTCCAGTGGAGTACTGGAGAGTCTGGACACGAACTAAAGAAGCAGCCCTAGTTCTTTGTATTTTCATGCTGAGGGCTTCTCAAGTGTTGGAGAACAAGCTTCTACTTGTCAGACTAATTTCCAATTCTAATATAAAATCTATGTTTTGAAATTTTTCACCCCAAGAACTGGAACATCAGCTGCGAAAGGCTTTGTGAGGTGGCAAGATGTCCATTCTCTGCTACTTGAACATTGTTCTATGGAGAAAATATTTCTGAAAATGAAAGACTAAGATTAATTTATCTGCTTTTAACTTAACAAAACTTACCTTTGAATTTTCAAAGTATGAAAATAATAAATATGCTGGCCAGGGAACCTGTGCTCGGGAATTGCTACCTCCAAATTCTATAGCTTTCACAGAAAATGGCATTTAAGAAACTCTGGGTATGTGATAAGTAAATACATTTATTTAAAAAAAAAAAAAAAATTGTCTCAGGTTTTCTCCAGTGTACAGTACTGATTGATATTATTTACCCCATGCTAACTGTATTTAACAACACCTACCTGTTGAATCATCTGATTTCTTGAATCCCACACTATTAACAGGAAGATGCACAAAGCACAAATTCTTATGTTTATGAGAAAAGCTTCAGCTTATCCTTTTTCAGTATGTGCCAAGCAGAATTGCATGGGCTAGTTGCTGTAATGGTCTTTTCAATTGAAAAAACCCAAACCACACCACCACCAAAAGAACAACCAAAAAACCAAACCAAAACACAACAACAAAACCCCAAGCAACAAAAAAGACAACAAAACCACCTTATATGGACATTTGCCTTAAATGGCAATTTTTCTCCTGTCAGTGTAGTCCAGGTAAGGTCTTCATAACAAATGGGTTCTTGTGGGGGATCTGGACTCTACTCCCCTTCTGGAGACTGACCTGGAAGATAGCCTACATAAATTGTGGTACGTTTTGTTGCTTTCATCAGCAGTCAAAGAAACAGTCTAGCTTTTCTGATTCCATTCATTAAAATGAAAGTATTTTTTCCAATCTAATATGCCTGATGATTATAAGGATCCTGTTCATTTTGCTTCCAGAGCTGTAGTACTTTGTTTTTCATATAAAATCACTGTGGGTTTGTTGACAAGCGTTCCCATCTTTCTCTTCATCATTTTCACTCTTTGTTGATTTCCTCTGTAGCTTTTGCCACTAGTTTTAGTTTATCTCAATTTTTATTTCCTTTCCCTTAAGCAATCTTAAAATTTCTTTATATAGTTTTAGCCCTATTTTTAGGCAACTATTGGCTTTCCTTCTGAGTTGTAAGAAATGTCTTTGTCAGAGGTCACATTTAGATCATTGCTGAGCCATCGAATGTGTGTTTATAGTCTTACATCTGTGATGGTATAGTCTGTTGCTGTAGAGAAGGCTGTGACTGTAGTAGGAATGTTCTGTATTTTTTGAACCACTGTGTACTTCATACTGGGTTTATTAAAGATAATATTGTTAAAAGATATAAAGAACTAAAATACAAATTTCATTAAATCCTGTTGATTATTTTTTTTAAAGATCTAGATCCTAGACCTAAACCATACATTACTTAATTTTGTATTTATTTTCTTCTCAGCGTATTGTTACTTTGATTTTGCTCCCTGTTTCTGTCATAGAATCATAGAATGGTTTGGGTTGGAAGGGACCTTAAAGATCATCTAGTTCCAACCCCCCTGCTGCGGGCAGGGACACCCTCCACTAGAAATAGTCATCTAAGAAATAATCCTATGGAAGCTAATGATAATCATTGTTAAGTAGGAAAGACGTTGAATAATGTTCCTAAGCTAACTTGCTTTGCTGCAGAATACACAAACTTCCCTTTTTAAATGTATGCAACTGTGAGGAAGATGAGTTTTGTTCATATTTCCTTCTCTGCATGGTCACATTTCTATGCGTGCAACACGATCAGAGAGCTGGAGCACCTCTCCTATGAAGTGTTTGTTCAAGGACTTAAAAATTAAGTTTCCCTTCTGAAATTAAAATCACAAGATGGAGACTTTTCACTCATTGAGAACTAAATTTAAAAAGCTATTTGCTTGCTTTATTTTAGGGCAGGAAGTAATGGTATATGCTTCCTGTTTCTGAGGTAAGAGCAGGTTCAGCAAAAAAGTGGTATTAACATCTGAGTTAGATTTGAAGACATGGCCAATGTGAAAATTTGCAAAATGTTTTTCCTGTGAACTTTTATTGAGGAAAAATCGCTTTCACCCTTCCTTCAAGTTACTGGAGGAGCATTCCTTGTTATTTCTGAGATATTTAGCAGTGTGGGAATAACAACCCCATGAAATCTCATTTCATTCACATCTTTAAAAGCTTCTTGATAGGAGGTGTCACAGAAATCTTCAAAATCTTGGCTAAGAATAGGCTTAAGATTTGTAGGTGATTCCATTCTGGTGGATATGTCAAGAGTCTGCACGGCTTCTCTTTAATGAATGTTGCCTTAAAGGAGTGACTGTAGTTAGCAAAATGAAAATTTCATCTGGTTTTGCTGTGATTCATCCTTGTTTTTTAAGAATATAAAAAGGCCCGATCATCTCAGACCAGTTCTTTTTTTCCAAACATTAGCTTTTCCCACACTTTGTATTAAAAAGTGAAGAAGTCTAGTGGGCATCTAGGGAATAATCTATTCAGAACTGTTTTTACTAATATTGATTATCAATTTTTATATATGAAATGTATGCCTGTATACATATATAATTGCTGTTGAATTACTTTCAGTTCTGCTGTTCTCTTTACTTGTCTAAACATGTTTCCTTGTGTTTTTTTTTTAAAGCTGACAACTCCTTAGAAAAAAGTTCTTTATGCTTTTAAAATGCACTATTGCAGTATCCTTTATAGAGGAGGATTTGATATGAACTTGACGTTTAGAAGTCTTGTCCATTGAAGTAGTAGAAATCACGATTGATAACTTCATCTTTTTTTGGTTGTTGGGTTTTTTTTGGTGTTTTCTTTTTCTTCTTTTCCTTCTTCCTCTTGAAATGCTGTCTTACCTGATAGAAATTGGTAGACAATTTGTCCCCTTTCTTCTTAGCTCTTCCAAGACAGTATACCCAGTTACTTATAAATCATACTACACTTAGCTTTTGACAAGGTTTTTGGTATTCTTTTAAGTCAGTGGAATAAAACAGATATATTTGTTCTTCTCCTTTACCATTATGCTATTATTGATATGCATTGCTTTATAGTAGTCGCTTTAGGTTTCAGGTTTAGGTGCACGTATTTCAAGCTTGTTGGAGTATGTTTCTTCAGGGGATAGCATTTCTCACTGTACAGAACTGCACTCTCCTGAAAAGTGTGAAAGCAGATGTTTATTGAAGTTAATGGGAAGACTGCACCAATTTAGCAGAATTAGGTTTTCATGCAATTTTTTTTTTCCTTGCAGACATAGCATGTATGTATGGAAGAATTAGCATTCCAGTGAAATGCTGGTCTTTAGTATTGCACAAGTTGTCTAAAAAGTGCTAGTTTAGCCATGTCAAATTTGGCCTTTTCAGTAGGAAAGCTATTTTTTTCTTTTCTCCTTTTTGTTTTCTGATGAACCTGTTGGATTGTGGACCCAAAATAGTCAGCATTGGTAGATCTTACACTAAGAAACTCACTATAAACTTCAAAATTAATCTTTTTGGATTTTTAATATTCTAATGTGTATCTTTATAGAAAAGAAAGAAATGCATCAAATAATAGTTCAATGTATAGTGAAAACTGTCTGGTGTTTTAATTTATATAGACCCTTTTATTGCCTTAGACCCATTTATTGCCTTAGGTAACAAGCTTAATAAAATTCATGCTAAATCTTTGACATACTTGTTAAAATATTCTTGATTTGTAAACATTGTAAGTATCTTTTTATTGCATGTTGAAGGAGAAATATGCATATTACAGTATGTTGTAAAGACCAGACCATGATATCTTAACTGTGTATAACAAATTCTTTTGCTTAGTGTTTTCTCTTTCTTTTTTTTTTTTATTGTGGTTTATTTTATTTTAGGTTGGTTGGAGTACCGCAAGAGATTATTACACGTTTCTTTGGTCACCTATGCCAGAAAATTATGTGGAAGGATCAACTGTTAACTGTGTGCTGACTTTTCAAGGTGAATATAAAGCAATAGCCACGTGTATTTTCCAGTCTACACAGCTTTTTAAATACTCATCTGCTCATTACAATGCTGAGGGTTGTATAACACTTCCAGACTCTTACGAACATAAATTGGAGGAGAATTTTCTGCACTTCACTGTATGAAGTTCAGTCTTAATGTCAAGGAAATTGTAAGGGGAAGTGTGTGATTTACTATGTTTTTACATAGTAATAGACAATAGTAATGACTGATAAAAAGAAGATCTGCTGGAAACTATTTAAATACAGAAAATGACTTTGTTTAATCATCAGTGGGTTTTTTTTAATCTTGGCATCTCTTAATGCATTATGTCTTTACATTATTTTCAGTCTCTGGACTTCAAACATCATTCTAAATGTAAAGCGATTCTGTCAAAAAATAAATAACGTAGGTGATGGTTTCGTAGTTCAGAATTGTCAGAGTTGCTGAGGATCTTTTGACAGTGAAGAATTGGTGAAAATGACTGAAGTATTTAAGAAAATAATAAAGAACAAACCAGAAAGTACTACACCACTGTACATATCTATAGCACAACTGCATTTTCAGCACTATGTGGAGACGAGATCCTTTCACTCCCTTTCCCAATCTCAAAAAAGATCTAGTAGAACAAATGAACAAAGTGCAACAAGGAAGATGAAAATTCATAAATAGCTTTTGTGTAAAGACGTGGAGTTACAAAGATGACAGAGTCACGCTCTTCTCATTAAATATAAAAAGGGGCAATGGCCATGGATTGTGGCCTGGGAGGCTTATGTCTAACATTAGGAAGAATTTTTTTACCAAGAGGGAGTAGTGCAGCACTCAAACAGGTATCCCTGGTTCGGAAGGATGGAAATTCCACACACTTGATTAGGCACTGCTATGGCAGTCTCAGACTGTTGCTGATGACAGTCTTTTGAGTGGGAAGCGGGACTAAGTGACCTTCAGAACTTCCTTCTGCCAGGTTCTTCAGTCTGGGAAAGAGAAATATGGGACATGACAGATGTCTCTAAAATCAGCTACCCATGGCAGCATGAGTGGATTATCTGTTGTTCATATTTAAAGAAGTAGGAGTCATCAATGTAAACTACCAAGTGACAGTCTCAAAATGGAGATAGGGGCTATACTTGTGTAGCATAATCAACATGCAGAACCTTTTGCCATAGAACACTACAAATATCAAAAATCTAGAGGCATTCGAAGTTGCACATAAAAAGAGCAGCTTCATTAAATTTGTTTGCTTTTCCGTTTACTAACATAACTTTATGTACCATCTTATGTTCTTTTTTACTTCCCAGAGTCGGCTTTAGTGTTTGTGTGTGTGTGTGTTTATTGTTTAAAATATATAGAAAAATAATAGAATAAAATAGAAAAATAAAGTCCTGAAATGATTACTGTGTTAGCTTGTTGTCTTGTTAAAGCTGCAAATAGTAGCTGCAAATAGTGATCCCTGGGATGAGTTCACTGTTCTTTCTCTTACCCAAGTCATTTTTTCTGATACTTTCAGTGATGATCATATCCATGTGATCTGACCATTTTGAGCTTGAAATCTGTGAAAAGTATGTGTGTTCTGTAGGAACTGGAGGGAAGTCATTAGTTTCTCTTACAGTTACCAACATTCACTGAAGGTATGAGTTTGGATTGGGCTGAAACTAAGTGACCTAGAAACTTATGACTGTACATGCCATTATCAGTCCTTTGTACTTAGAAGTTTTACCACACATAAAGAAAGCAGATAACTGATTTGTTGCATTCCATGCTGAAAGTCCACCACTTTTATAGAGCTGCCAGATTTAATTTGCATTCAGACAGTCTCCCAGTTGTGTTTGAGAAAATATTTTAGTGCTGCTGAGATGAGATCAGTAGAGCTTACAGGAGCTTAATTAACAGAGATAAATAGTAAATGTTGTGCAGCATGCTTTAAATATTTTTATTTTTTTTTTAATGATGAAGTAGGTGCACTGGAAGAAAGTAATTGGGAATCTCTTCTCTCCAGTACATGTTAGATACAAGAAAAAAGACTTTAAGTAGTTTTTAAATCAGTTTGTCTGAACCGATATTAAAACTTGCTGGAGCTGCAAAGTAGATTGTTCTGAATTTGTTTCTGCATAGTGTCACTTTATTTAAGCGTTGAATCAGGTAAACTGCAACTGCAGTGCCTTTTAGGAAAGGGTAGTCAGGTCCAAAAGCACAAAGCACGTGCAAAAAATTGAACCTGGTGAAGTTGCAGAAGTTTTGTCATTGCATGTTACTCTGTCTTTGGTAATATAGGTATTCCAAGGCCAACAAATTGCTTACTCCTTGCTCTGGGACTGTGCATCAGTTACGTAATAATGTGGTCCTGATCTGGCTTCAGGGCATCTTATTGCTCATGATTCTGTCTGTTTCATAAATATATAAACAGCAGCAGTTACCTAATGCATGTAAGGTGATGTGTACATATAGGACCTATTACATGACACTGTTTGGGCATTTCTCTTAAAAGCTAGGAGAAATTGCTGGGGCATGAAAGTTACTAAATAGGATGACTTTCCCTTCTGCTGTTTTGGTGACTCACCTGTGCCTTACTGAGGTAATGAGCGTGAAATTTTAAAGTCAAACATGAGCTGATAATCTATTTCCAGATGGAGACTTGTATGTTTGTGTAGAATGTTTCTTCAAATGTGAATTTATTTTGATAGGATATTATCTACCAAATGATGACGGAGAGTTTTACCAGTTCTGTTATGTGACTCATAAAGGAGAAATCCGTGGAGCAAGCACACCTTTCCAGTTTCGTACCTCTTCCCCTGTTGAAGAATTACTCACCATGGAAGATGAAGGAAACTCTGATATGTTAGTGGTGACCACAAAAGCTGGACTTCTTGAGGTTTGATTCAACAATTCTTAAAATGTTATTTTCTTATTTATTTTTTCTATATATATACACATATATACATACAGTCACAGGATATAATACTGAAGAGCACATGAGGAGGAAAAAACCCTACATATGTATGTGTAATGTATGTATTTCTGGTTTGTTTTCCATTATTTGATTGGAGTTTGCAGATTAAATGAGTAAAGATTTTAAACTGGTTACAGGTATGGTATAGCACTAAGCATAAACTGGGAAACTGTAAGAGAGTACATAGTTGTCCATCTCTCGCATCTGTACTCCTCGACTAACTGGAGCGGGGAAGGATAGCCTTTGTGTGAAATGATGCTTGTTGTAAGGAAGAAAAGTTAACTAACCAGTATACTTTTATTTGTGCACAAATGAGGAGCCCTGGAAAATAAGCTGAGTAATTGCAGGTGCCAAAGTATGTTAGAATAGCTCTTGTTTTATTTAAAGCAGTGTTCTGTGCCATGTTCTTTGCTAGGTGGATGTGGTTAGACTTGTATGCTTACATCCAGAGTCAAGATGTTTCCATTTGCTTGTTGATACATTGTAGGCTGAAAACTACTTAAAAAACCCCCAACAAACCACAAAACCAACCAACCAACCAAACCCCCCTTCCCCTCCCCCCCCCCCAAACAAACCCAACTTGATTATGTGAGTTGCTTATTGGAAAATTGCTAAGTACAGTTTCCTTACCTTGACATCAGATGTTTTACCCATCTGTCAGTTGTGTCTAGGCATGTACATGCATGTATCTGATTTAGTTTTCAAAATTTAGGGATAAGAGACTTAGTACAGAGACACATCTGGGGTATTTTTGCTTTTCAGATATGTACTTGTGCTAAAATTAAAGAAAAATATTATTTCAAATCTTTTTGATTATCTTGTTCATAGAATCATAGAATGGTTTGAATAGAAGGGACCTTTCAAAGTCATCTAGTCCAACCCTTCTGCAGTGAGCAGAGAAATCTTCAACTAGATCAAGCTGCTCAAAGCCCCGTCCAACCTGAGTGTGAACATTTCCAGGGATGGAGCATTGTCATGGTTTAACCGCAGTAGCAACTAGGCCCCACACAGTCACTTGCTCACTCCTCTCACAGTGGGATGGGGAAGAGACTTGTAAAAGTGAGAACTTGTGAGCTGAAGACAGCTTAATAGGTAAAGCAAAAGCCACATACACAAACAAAGCTAAACAATGAATTCGTTCACTACTTCCCACCAGCTGGCGGGTGTTCAGCCATCTCCAGGAAAGCAGGGCTCCATCATGTGTAATGGTGGCTTGGGAAGACAAACACCATCACTCTGAATGTCTCCCCCTTACTCCTTCTGCCAGCTTTATATGCTGAGCATGATGTCATATGGTGTGGGATACCCCTTTGGTCAGTTGGGATCAGCTGTCCTGGCTGTGTCCCCTCTCAACTTCTTGTGCACCCTCAGCCTATTCACTGTTGGGGTGGTGTGAGAAGCAGAAGAGGCCATCTTTCTTTTAAGTCCCCTGTAAGTATTGAAACTCCACAATTCACATACCAATCCTTACTTTTGGCTGTGTGTGTGTGAATCTTTTGGGTGAAATTCCTTAAACATTGCTTTAGATGTGTGTGTCTACACTCAGCAGCCATTTTTTCACCAAGCTGTCATTATCATAATTAGCTCCTCCATAGTTGCTCTCACTTGGGAAAGTAAAGGCGCTTCGCTTAAGGAAGGAAAAGTTAACTGTAGATCATGAGACTGCAAAATGTGCTGTTTAATGGTAATGCAGTCCTATTCAGTTAAAGCAGTGAAACTTCGGAAGTTTGGGAGTAAGAGGAAAACTAAAATAACCTAGCCAGAGGACACACATTTTGTGCTTCTGCTCAAACACTGGAGTAATTTGTTATCCACTTATTTGATAGGAATGAAGGGGAGAAAAATTACCAAAAAAGAATGTTTTTGTTTTTACAGTTTAAAATTGAAAAAATAATAAAAGAAAAAGAAGAGCTATTAAAGGTAACTTCTGTTCTGGAAAAGGAAACGACACAACTAAGAGATCAAGTTGAAAGACTGGAAAAAGAACTTAACCATGAAAAGCAGAGATATGACCAACTGCAAACAGAGCAAAAGGTTAGTTGTTTAACTGATTAAAGCTGACTCATAATGTCTGTAATCCTCCTTTTTCAAGAACCAGTTAAACTGGGTGAAAATCAGCTATCAAAACCCCTCGGCAGTTAGATAGACATTTACACTAGAATAGGTCAGTTCCTATTAACCTCCTGCCACTATTCCTTTTATGTCGTAAAATGGTTAAAATATTTAAGGCTTTTGGTACCAGGCTTGGTAAGATAATCGATGACAACTGTTACCAGATGTTTGACATTTAACTGTGGAATTCATAGTGGAAAGCAGTTGATAGTTTAAAGTTTGCTTACATTAACTTAAAATGGAGGAAGGCTTTTCAAAAAACTCCCATTAAAGAATAGCTACATAGTACAGGGTATTGAAAATGGTAAAAAAATTTTGGTATTATAAGCAAAGATCAAGATTTAACAGAGAATACTACTGCCAGGGCATACAAAGAATGAAAACTAACTAGTCACTTCTCTAAAAGGCTTCACAAAGGTCTGAAGATTTTAAAAGGGAAAAGAAGCACAAACCTAAAAATTAATTTACAGTGTTAATTCATAGTGAAAATATAAATCTAGCCTAAACTAAAGGTTAACTTGAAATTCTACACATGGTAAGGAGGAAATCTAATATTATAAAAAAGGCACAAAAAGGTTGGATTTAATCTATTTTTAAGCTTCTGCTTTTTAAAAAAAAAACTTTTAGGAGAAGATTAAAAACATGTGGGAGGGAGGTGGTGACATGGACAAATTTGAAGTAATGAAGCCTATATAATTTAGCTGTGGACAGCAGTTAATAGGCTATTTCTGAGTACTAGTATGTATATGTCAACAGTTCTGCATGATACACCTTTAATAGAAAGGAATTTGTTGACAGAATTTGAAACTGTTGAAACTTTGTAGTTTACTTTTGAACAATCATAATGAAATGAGCTAGAATGTTGGGTAAGGAAAAAAAGAAAGGATAAGATCTTGTTTAGAAAAAAGTTTTTCATGTAAAAGAATGATTTTAATTTCAAATACATGGGAGAACTAATTTAAATCAATAAGAGAAGAATTAAGTAGTTGAAAGTATACATTTCATGGATTTGCGAAATCATAAACTTGGTGGATAAATCTGAATAAGCTACATAGATACCTTTCATTGTCATTTGAAGTTCTCATTTAAAAAAATGTTTGAAAGTAAATTGTCAGTTCTAATCCATATTAGCTTTATAATGCAGTTTTAGAACAATTTGTCAAATGGGATTTTGATGACTGTCCAGCAAGGATACAGTTAGACTGTATAGGAGCAAAAATGTCTTGATACTTTCTCATACTTTCCTGTGAATTTCTGTAACCAAATAATGCTTCTGGCTTTAATATACCCGAACTTAGCAATTAGAATTTAATTTCAGGAACGTTTTATTTTTTTATTTGTTATTGCCTCGTATTTTGTTGAGGTGATGATGCAGCATGAAGAACTTCTTGATTATATTTAGCTGAGCTATAAGTAGATGTCTAATTTGAGGCTGATGCAACTCTTCACCTATCTAGAATACTATTGAAGTTTTCTAACGCATGCAATTATTTTTTGTCTCTTAAGTCTTTGACACTGTCTTATTTTGCATGTTTTATGTTCTATTTGCTGTTTTTTACTTTTTAAAAAAAAAGAACTGCTGAGTTGAAAAATCTCTCAATTTTTTTATATACATGAGCAGAATATAAATCCAGTGTTACTCATGAAAATTAAACAGACATCTACTAAATCAGATGCAATAAGTTCACTTTTGTGTTGTTTTGGTTTGGCTTGGGTGTTTTGGTTTTTTTTCTGTTTTTTTTTCTTTAAGTTACAGAATGATTGTTTTAACTAAGTGATTCTGTGGGCTTTTAATTTTCTTCTTTTGTCACAGACAGGTGGATTTTTAGTTATGCTCTAAACTTTAGATAAAAAGTGGAGTTAATGAATTTAAAATTTGTATTTTTTAAAACATTTAACTTACGTAAAGGTTTAACTAGTTGGAGTTCTATAAAATTTTTTTTCAGTATACTTTAGAGCATATTAGGCTAAAGAAAATTAATAAAACAAAATATCCCAAATAAGAAAATATAACTATTGTTATATGTACATATCATTACTTTTGCAGTTTGAGGAAGCTATAAGTGATAGAAATCTTTATTTCTGTTAAAAATAAAGCTAAGCTACATTTAACCCATATACAATCTCTGCATACTATTTTTTTTTCCTTTTTGTAAGTACTTCCATCAAGCGCACAGGTAATATTTCTGTTTGTCCAATGAGCCCTCTAAAAAACCACAATAGTACAAAGTACTATATGTTAAAAAAAAAAAAAAAGGCAATTGCATGAGCAAAGGAAGTATGTATGTCTATACAGACACATGCATTTGATTCTAATTGAGTGCAGAGCTCTTGATGCTGCTACTGTATTGACAAATACTATTTGTTAGCATTTGTATTGTGATAAGGGGGCCCTGGAGTTATGAACCCATTTATACAGAACACTCATCAATCTGCCCCTTTTCTAAAAATCTTTCTTAATTTCTTCTGAGCAAGTAATAAGGGTATCTGAGCTTATGTCCTTGTCTTTTGATCAAATACATTATTAAGCTACCTTATGTTTTTATAATTGAATTGAACAGAACGTGGGTGGTGTGGTTAGGGGTTACATAAGGACATAAGTTATCTTACTGTGGTACAGTGTAACAAATAGAAGGTGCATTAATGATGGAAAAGCTCTTGAGTTCATAATATGAAAACGTTTTGTTAAAACACAGTTCTCTTAAAATTCCCTTTTTATTTGTGTTTATTTGTATGCCTTTAGGCTACCTTCCTCTTTGGTACTGATTTTTATCGGACCTTTGTTTTCACAAATAGCTCAGGAGTAGTTTGGATCATTGAGAAATGTCTGTAGAAACATTGGTTTCTTAATATAGACAGGACAGTTGCTGACAGACAATGTCGCTGCTTATACCCCAATTAGTGTTTCCCTCCCACTCTTGATTATTTGGTCTGTCTTCCCCATCTAGTTACTCTCAGAATTCTGGGCAGTGGAACTATCATCTCCTCTGTCTGCTTTTTTGCCTAGTTGGGATGCTTTGTAAGTGGTCCTTTAGAGGCTCTTTGGGAAAATATTAGGAAGGAACAAGCTAAAAGTAGATTCAATCTTTTAACAACATGGCATACTAAACAATCTATTCGGGTGTAATACAGTCAGTGTTCCATGAAGTTTGAATATTGGGGTCTCTGCATGTTTTTAAGTGGTGAAAAGATTCCCATTTCTTGACTTTTAAAAACAGGTGAGTTCCTGTGTTTGTAGCACTTCAGCCTGTAATGGCCACAACAAACTACAGATTTCAGTTTGCTAACAGTGCCCTCGTTGTTCAGGAGATACACAGTGGTTTGTTACCTTCTTAGAAGGTAGCCATCTCCTTTCCTGCCAAAGATAGGAGAAACAAATATGTTCAAGACATAAAGGGATAATGTGTTATTAGAGTTGTTGAAACATAGCTTCTAATGTATGTTATGACACTCTGACTCACTACTTGTCTCTAGAGGCTTCTATTTTTTTAGGTTTGGGTTTGTGGTCTTTTTTTTTTTTAGTGTTTTATCACATTGGAGTAAAAAAACCAGAATCTGTATTTTTATTTGTGTTCAATACATTAATGGTTCTGCAGATGTAGTTTTCTCAGGTTGTCATCACCACCATCACAAAAAAGTGTATTTGCAAGACACACAGCTCTGTGCTAGTCAGTGTTTGCACTCAGAGGAAGCATGCTCTCCAGCCCCGCTGTTCTTAGTGCACACTTCATATGTTATGATTATTACCATTAGGTTGTGTTAATTCCCTGCCCTGCCAAAGCTTAAGATATTGTAGAACTTGGGACAAATTCAGTCTTTTTCTTTTAGGTTGCTCTTTTCTTCTTCTCTTATCCAATGGCTGCTTAACACACTAGGTAGTTGTTCCGAGAAGATTGGTTTAGGGAGGGTATAAGTGAATCTTTCCATTCTCCCCTTTCTTCTCCTGCGCCCAACATGCACAATCTTTTTAAAAGACTTCTGAAAAGGGCTGTATTTTCAGTTACAGGAAAACATAGTATTCCTCTGCAGCATTTTTCATGCCAGTTAAGCAATTAATAGACTGCCGTGCCCCCCCCCCCGACATTAACTTAGCTGTTACAGAGTGTGAAGGTTTAACTTAGTCTGCTACTACTCTGTGTGGGAATTCAGAGTAAATGCGAAATAATTGGAAATGTTTCAGAAATGTCAGGTCTTTTTCTTATAACCTTCTGTTAGTGTTTCGGAATTAGTTTGGTTTTACTAAGATGATGTTCCTTGGTAGCATACTTTTATTTAGAATCATGCTGTACATACAGCTTGCAACTCCACTAATATAACAGTGTTAAAATAGTGATGTAATTACTCGCTATGGTTATTTTACTTAAGAAGATGACACATGGTCACCAGAACTGTTTCAGGTTGCTTTCAATGTTTCAACTTTTCCTTTGGTTTCCTACTGAGACAACTTGTTCACTGCTACATACTCAAGTATGTTGAGTCACATTAGTAAGCTGCTGTTATCCAAATATATTTTACTTTTGGAAAAATTGAAGAACATTGAATCAAAAACTGTGTTTTTTATCTAGAAAATAATAATACAAATATTTCTAATCCATATCTTACACAGTATTAATATAAGTCTACATATATATATCTCTCGTACACTTGTGTAAAAAGGAACTCATGCTCTTCAGTCTTTGTGTTTCCAGTTTTGTGTGTACTTGAACTGCGTGTAAGTTCTCTGGCAGCAGTGCACTTGCCTACTGTTTTAATATTACTGTACTGAACCAGAGAAATGTGCAGTAGTCATAGTGTCAGTCTTTCATCGGTTGCTTTTCTGACATGCTGCAGCCATTCAATTTTGTGAACGCAGGTTTTGTAAGCTTCTGTAACGAGCAGAACTTGCAAATGATGCTTTTGCAATCATTTGTCTCCCTCTAGTGGGAAGAGAGTACTTCTGAACTGATTTCTTTAATGGTACAG